TTTGCACAACCTTTCGTGGTAACACACATACGGGAAATATACTGCAAAGTGGCATCCGCGGTGCCACTGAACCTTTTGTCTTATTCGACATTCATTATTAGGACAACCGTGGTAGAATATTTTGCCAACCTCTACCTAATACCCCATGGAGCACCCGGTACAGAGTTATCATCGCTTGTGGGATCATGGATAACTGTAACTCATTCATATCACTATTTGTCTCATTCATTAAACTATAAATGATCTAACAGATGTAACCAGTATGTGAAAAGATGCAATGGGTTGAGCAATGATATAATAAAGATAAGAACCTATGCGACGAAGCTGAGTAGCGATGGGAGAAGTCGCAGGTAACAGATTGTTGCCATTGGCATTGCGGATTGAATGTATTAATAAATCGGATTGAAAAGGTCCCAATTTGATCTTACTATTCAGGTGAAATATTAACACTTTTTTATTACCATTGTTACCATTGTTAGGTTTCTTGTCAAGGGTGCATTTCAATGTCAGAAATACGCAAGCAATCGCATTTGATTCGAAGTAATCGGTTTTATTCGAGAGAAACTCAGCCTCAATGTAATTTACTCATAGGCTTATCGAGGGCTTAGACTGGGCATGGTGACCGACTTATCGATTCATCTTGACGTGATTCGCTTCCTTACCGGACCGACAGAGATCAGTTAACTCCGGGTTCGTTCATTCGTATCCATGACGCACACTCGATCAACGATCACGAACATAACGTTCCCGGGTAGAACGGGTGTATGTGTGTGAGGGGGGGAGGCACGGGGGAGAACGACCCCCACCCTCCGAAACATTCAACCTTGCTGACCTTGCAATCTAACTCACTGAAAAAGTACTTTTATTTGTTCACCGAGAAGTTAGTTCATTCGAACTGGAGGGGATTAAGACAGACCCGGTCCAATCGGTGACATTTGACATTTGTGCGGTTTCCCAATGGAGTGCGATTGGTTGGATTCATTTGGTGTTACAACGGACTCACTTGAAATTGAGGTGTAGACTGTGACCAACGTAGGAGAGAGGCAAACAATTGTGTGTGTACAAACTGAACTGAACTGATCAAAGATACTATAAAAACGCTCAAGTCACGGTTATTGTGATGAGCAGCATCTAACCCATCTACATAACATCGATTCAATGGACTGGATCTAAAACAGAAGTCAATCACAAATTATCCGCTGTTGAAAATGAGGTTATTGCGACGAAAATACACTTACTGTGTACAAGTATATGAATGAAGTGATATTTTTTTACACACGTCTGAATCAAGACTGCACCAAACAAATCATGGTGCAATAATCCTTATAAACCAGAAAAACGTTCTATGATTGCATGTGGGCTGAATACTACCACGCCAAGACAGGTGAATCTTCTTGGGAAATCCACAACCGGAGCCTTTGACTAGCCTGGTCCGCAGGGCAGCGGGGCAGTGTGAAAATCGCAATCCATTGGGGGTTGGTATCCAGTTCATCGGATCATATACCCCATGGACAGGGTCAAAGGTCCAAAGTGCGAAATAAACGTTGATGTCCAATCGAGCCGGTGACCACTACCACAATCCGCAAGGTGTGCCCGTGGTTCGTACACCTCCTTTTGGTTGGTTTGGAATCGGAGTTTTTGGACAACTCCCCTTGGTTAAGTACCAGTGGTTCACCATCCCGGTTATAGTTCCAGATGTCGGCTTTTCGTCCTCTCGCGTTGGTGCAAAGACACCTCCTCCACGAGAAGGCAGTGAGTAGGACTTCCTCAGCAGAATTGGCTAATTGAGACACTTGGTTGTATGGGAGCATTTCTCGATGTGCAAGGGAAAGGTGACCAGTCACAGCCCTAGACACCTACCAGACCGGACCGTACGGATAAAAGACTACCGGATGCGGATCCTTAATAAGCAGAAAGGACCGCAAAACCGGTAGTGTGCTTCCAGGGAAATTTTGTCGAGGCATTAGTATGCTACTATAGTACTACAAATAAAACCAACAGAGCGAAAGAAACTAGCAAGAGAATGGAAAGACTGACATAACAATCGGGATGAATCCGAGTCTTGAAATTAAATATTCACTGTCTCACCAAACCCACCCCCAAACATATATTCGTACTCCCCCCACACACACACCTTTCATAAAACTAAATGACTCACTCCTTGGAAGATGATTTGTCGCAAATTTCCTACACATGTGACCCGTCCACTGGGATCCAAATGCCGTTTCCATTGGTCCATAGTGAGCGGTTCACCACGCTGGACGGGGACAATAGGGGGAAGTTGGATAGGATTGGCGCGTTGCTTGTAAGGTGGAACCGTGTTCGACAGGATAGACGGAGAGAAAGGAAAAAGCGGTTGAGTTGGCATACATCCGAAAATGACATGCTTTAAAAAAACCTCGTGAAACAAACCACGTTTGGGTTAAATGAGATTTATCGCAAAACTGGAAGAAGTGAACTCGAACTGAGAACGAACGACCGACTCTTTCCAGCGATTATCAGTCACATGTTGAAACACGTAGCCCAAGCGGCAGGACTCACAGAGCTACAACACACAAAATGGGGGCTCCCAATGGGATAGGTGCGGTGCAATGGGAATATTTACAATCACTGATGAGAAGAGTTGTTTGTATTGAAGTGGATTACCATATACAACAATGGATCACAACAACGATAACCAACGGGAATACAATCGCATACCCCCCTCCCCCCTCTGAGCATTATTACCTTCTAACGACAGTTTTGTTTTCACTCATTCTTTCTCTCCCTCTCTCTCT